TTTCAAAAGCTGAGCCATTGAGCTATAGGGAAAAGCAGCAAAGACCCAAACATTTGGGGACGCCGACTTGAGGGACCAAATGGCATTTGCTTCCATGGACGACCCATCCGCCCTTCCTGGTTCTGTGACGTGGGTAATCTTCCCCCCCAAAAATTCTCATTTAGAATTGGGAGATTGCGGGTCAGGCACGCGCTTCAGGCAATCGCGGGTGGCTGCTGGCAATGATGTGTTTGTTCATCAGGGTCGTGTCAGGTGAGGTTCGGTCTTAATGGTCTCGTCTATGGGTCCTGCCAGACGGACGTATGGGATTCTGAAAACTTTCCCCGAACACCAGGGGGACAAAGACTTCTGCTTTCGCGAAATATACAGAGTGCGTTCATTGCGTCTGCCAATAGGGGAAGGGATTCGTCAACCTTTTTGCAACTTGCGGGTCACAGCCCGGTCTGACAATTTCGCGGCCTCGAGGATCCGCGTACCCGTTGCGACCTCGGCGTGAAGAGACCCCAATCCAAAGTGGGCGGATATCTTCCCCGTCTGCGGGTCCTAAGTCAGGAACCCTGCTGGTTTCGCTGAGAAAGAGCTGTTTTCGGAAAGTGTGCCTGTTGTCAGTGAAAACGTGTGGAACTGGATCTGTTGTGCAGTGCTTTACCCAAATGGCCCACTCTTCGTGTTCACAACGACCTGGGCTTGGAAGAGGGGCGCACTGCAAACCTCATGGAATAGTCGACATCTGAATTATGATCATAAAACTGTGTTTTATTAACGAGCTGAGCCCAACCAGCCCATTAGCAGATCGCCGGTCACGGAGGCATGAGATTGCGGCAGGTGCCACATCTCGGACGTACAAAGAACTATTTACTGCTCATGGCGGCCCATCGAGTTCCGTTGGCCTGGCAATGAAGCTACCCGGCGGTGAATTCAAGCAATACTTGGGGAACACCACAAGGAACCACTTGAGAACGTGCCAAAGTTCAGCTGCTGATTTTGTACATCTGGCCCTTTTGCACCCCCTTTGGGGGCTGGTTTCCCATACTTAAGCCATACCCATCAATTCAGCAATAAAGCAGGGGTTCATGCTAGGGGTGCAACGGGACGTATAGTTTTTGAAAAGTGGTTGGAGCATTTCTCATGCAACCTTTGTTTTAGAAACGCCCTGAACCCTTCTTCGCAACACAAATGGAGTTGTCCCCAAATGCCGGCAACCTCCCTTTCAAGGATCCAAGAAAAACAGTCACAAGGCTCCGTATGTTTCCCTGAAGCATGACCTGCCAAGAGGAACTTATCTGCACTTGGCCCAAAAGCTGATGCTCAAACAACTAGCAAAGGAAACTATTGGGACACTGAAACACACAAACGCGACGCCAAATTGCCATCGCCCGGCTCGGCGGATGTTCCTCGCCTTTGCCAGCGGGTTCTGCTCGTTCCACTCGGGCACGGTGCCCATCTCCAGCACCTGATCCACCCAGACCTGGCGGGTGGCGAGATGGCCTGCCTTGCGGTTGGTGGGGATTTGACTCCCCTAGAAGGAAGCTGACAATTGTTTCAACATCCTTCGTTGCGTCAACAGGGACCGTCACCCAAAATGGGCTTCGGTTTCCCTTGCGATTCTCCGACCAACCCCGAGGGTTCCGAGCCTCAACAGACACAACCCAATTGAGATTTGCTGGTTGTAAAGTGGGGAATACTCATTTTCCAAATAAAACTGAAGTCTTTCTGATCACGCCGAAGGGCAGCCAAGTATAAGGGCTTCAAAAAGTAGGATAGGATGGTGGCGAACTTTCAAATCAAACCCAATCAGAATCATGACAGCAACGAAACATGAATAATCATCATTCCCTACCCATTTTTAACAGGGTACGGTCGGACACCCGTCCATTATGTTGGACTATGGGATCGCTTCTTCCCAGTGCATCTTGGGTTGGAGGCGCGCCTTTGTGAGTGTTGCCCAAGTGCCCCCCTTGTGAGAGGCCGACGCGCCAACAAAAACGAGTGCAGTTCAGCGATGGCAAAAGCTGGTGGGATCACAGGCCACTGGAGTGGTCAAACAATAGGAAGTGGGGGCAGCGGCTGCACGCTGATTCGGAGACTTCACGAAGCGGAACCTGGTTGTGGAGTACCCGCAGACATATACACCCTCGAAGGGTAGGAGAGTCGTAGCCTGCTTCATTCAGTCGTCCAATGCTGAGGTCGTTACCAACTCGCCAATGGTATTGCCCAATTTGATAAAAGGGGGCACCCACCTTGTGCAACTTTGCCTTTTTTCCTACAAGCGAGGGCATCTGCCAAGTGTACGCGTGTACATGGTAAGACTGAAAATCAGAAATGGGAATGCACTGGAAAGTGCGCTGGACCGCGTGAACAGGCGTGCCCCCAAAGCTTGTGTCTCAGAACCAGGGCACCCCAAAAACAAAACAAAAAAGCTAAACAAAACGGAGGGCTGATTGTTGGTAGTTTCCCTCTAAACCAAATGCCAAAAGCAACTCACATAAGGGACCCAAAGCGATCGTTGGTTTGCTCTTCGCTTCCCTCCAAGCCAACAAACTGGTGCTCCGGGGAAGGAAAGCCAAATCCTGGAAGGGCGCTAAGCTGCGCCGGGCTCACGGACTCCTCGTCGAAGTCCAGCAAGGTGAAGCCCAGTTTGCCTGTCGCCATGCGGCAGGTCGGCAATGGCCCATCACGTGGTCAGAACATGGGCTCATCGGTGGCCAGAGAGATGCAATATGCTGCCTTTCTGGTCTGGGATTACATGTTCGCGCATGGCCTAGCTAGTGCAACACTTAGACTTCTGACAGAATGCCTGCACACATCCTAGTGAATTGGATGGCAACTGAATCCTCATCACCAAGGACATGGGAGCAACCCGTGGCAAGTGAAATCCCTGACAACTCAAACAAGCAGCAGCCCTGTCCATTAGCACAAATCTTAAAATTGAACCGAGGCATATATTGCCGGAGTCACTTTGGATGGATTATGGCTTCTCAATCAGCTCATCGGAACATGAGCAATCGTCCCTTCTTGCTGAAATTGCGCATCAACAAGGACCGATCTGGCCAAAAACGCATGCCGTTGATCGCATCTGCCTTTGAAGTAAACAACTCCTAAGAAAGCGGAAGGTGGTTTTGCAGCCAAAGCCAAAAGGGTCTGCACCAGCTTCGGGAGCCAGGGCTGCGCTCAGATCCCCTGCTAAAAGTTTAACGTTTAGTAGATTAAATGGAAACTACAACTAAACCCTAAAGACCTACAATGCTAAGGGGTGGCTGGGAGCTACCAAGGAACCGGATCCCCTGTCAACCACCAAACGCGTTTCAAATCGGTGTCACATCGAAGCACTTTGGGAAAATGTGCAGCCATGCGCCATCCAGTGAACATTGTTTGCCTTGTCGAACCCTTTGAACCCTTGCCGCCTTTCTGTGACTTCCCTTGCCAGCCTTGAGGGAAACACCCGTTGAAGTTGCCACAACCCAAATGCCCTGACCCCTGTCACGACCAGCCGCATGTTTCGGGATTCAGACTGGTTCACATCTTTTCTTGCTTGGATCTTCCTGAAATCCAGAACCTTCATGTCAAGCTTGCTGCCAGGTTCAACGATGTCAAAGTCAGCTTTTCGGTTGTCTTTCCCATTTGCCAGCAAGGGACCGGCATCGATTGCCGACGAGCCAAGGTTCCGGGCTCTTGCCGTCCCTGGGCAACACCAGCCGCTTCTGCACCGGCCGGCGGAAGCGGATCACTGCCTCTCAGCCGGCGAAAGAACACTTGAGTTGACCAGCCGGGAGTGGACGGCTTTAGTGACTTTAGTGACTATATAATTGCTGAACAATCAAGACCCAAGGCGGGAACTTCAAGCGTTTTGAGTGTTGACTAATTACAGCTAAGACTTTTGGGGGCCATTGCTACTTCCCCGCAAAGAGCCAGGTTCAAAAGGACAAGGCAGCGTTAAAGGACCCTGAACCATACGGGTGGCAAGCCATCGAACCCTCGAAGTCTCCAAACGTTGTGCCTCGGGTTCCCAACCTGGGCTCTTTTGACTTGGAAAAAGCAGGCTCCCAAAAGGCGCAGTGAAAAAGTTGCATGGCCATCCATCAGTCGCATCCCCTCAGCTCCATGTGCACTCATTTGTGAAGGTGTGAAACCTGGAATTTCTGAGTGTTGTGGGTACATCATGAAGCCAACCATGTTCGAGGTCAAAACCCAATACACCATGTTCACACAAACAAAACCAACATCATAGGTCCCTGCCCTAGTCATTGCAAGTCTCTTTCGCCTGCACTTCCAGCGGGGTGCAAGCATGTGCTTCAGCGTTTCCTTCTTCATCCCCTGGCTTGGGGTTCAGCCACCCGAAGAAACTGATTCTATTTCTATCCCATCGCTGTTTCCCGAAAGGCAACCCCGGGTTTCAGTCTGATCGGGAAACCAAAAACATGGATCCATGCCCGCTGGAATGCCTCCGACCAACGCCTCAACGTCCGGCCTCCGAGGAAGCGCGGAGCTCGTCCACAATCTCGAAGCAGTCCGTGATGCCATTGACCTGAATGAAAACGCCAGAAAACGCTTCCCAGCTTCCCAGCTTCCCTCAACGGTGTGGATTGGTTTGGAGGTTCGGGGGTTCCCTGAGCCCAGTGGTTTGGAGGGAGTTTTAGGGTTCCCGGGTCAAGAGGAATAACGATACTGCGCGTGCAATTGCCCCCCAAAAGACGAGAAAGCCTTGAGATCTTGGTGTGGGTCTTTCTCAGGATTGGGGAATCCCACATTGCTGAACAGGCTGTTTCCTGTTGGCTTCTCTAAACAAGGGTTCACCATGTTGAGAAACCGTGTTGCCACACCAATCCAGCTTCGCCGCAGTCAATGCACCCAGCCCATCGCCTCCAAAATGCGCAGGTTGGGCACGATCTGCCGCTCCGGATAGATCTGGGCGGCGCGAGTTTGGCCTTTCTCTGATTTGGACCATATGTTTCATGTCTCACCATTCATCTCAAAAAGCCGTTCTGGTTTCACATTGGCCCAAGGTTGACAGCCCCCCTTTCCATGAAAGAATGATGCATAAGCACGGAAAAATATGTTGTTGCAAGATTCTGGAAGAATGGGCCTCACCATACCTACTTGCAACTGGCCTCTCAAGGAAACCGTCCCCGCATGCAACCAGCTGACCAGCAAAGGGGCCTGGGGCCTGGGGCCCCACACGTTGTTCCACTTGGTGCCGGGGCCCTTCCCCACGAAGGCCACCACCACGATGTTGGTGGCGCCATTGCCTCGGAGCATCAGCCGAAGGGCGGACCGGCCGAAGGGTCGAACGGTGGAAGGGCCGAAGGTCCAACGGGCCGAGGAGCAGAAAGGCCAATGTAGTAGAACTAGTAATATTGCAAGTGCTAGAAGAGTACTAGTAGTAGTAGTAGTAGTGGTGGTAGTAGTAGTAGTAGTAGTAGTAGTAGAAGTAGTAGTAGTAGTAGCAGTCGTAGTAGTAGTGGTGGTAGTAGTAGTGTAGTAGAAGTCGTAGTAGTAGTAGCAGTCGTAGTAGTAGTGGTAGTAGTAGTAGTAGAAGTAGTAGTGGTGGTAGTAGTCGTAGTAGTAGTGGTACTAGTAGTAGTAGTAGTAGTAGTAGTAGTAGTAGAAGTAGTAGTAGTAGTAGTCGTGGTCGTCGTGGTCGTCGTGGTAGTAGAAAAAGTAGGAGTAGAAGTAAAAGTAGAAGTAGAAGTATTAGTGGTTGTTTTTGTTGTGGAAGTAGTAGTAGTAGTAGCAGTAGTAGTAGTAGTAGAAGTAGTAGTAGTAGTAGTAGTAGTAGTAGTAGTAGTAGTAGTAGTAGTAGTAGTAGTAGTAGTACTAGTAGTAGTAGTAGTAGTAGTAGGACAAGTAATGCTAGTAGTAGTCGTGGAAGTTGTAGAGGTAATAATTTAGTAGAAGTATGGACTTGAACAGGCCTTGGAGGCTACACGGAGGCTACGCAGGGGGCTTTGCTGAGGCTATGAGGAAAGAGCGAGATCAATTCTGGCCGGGACAGGGCACATCAAATTCACTCTCTTTCGTTGAGACACGCAAGCTTTCAACCTAAGCCTTTAGCTCAAAACAAAGGGCCTATGCAGAGGCTACGCGGACGATTATCGACAGCTCCTTTTGCTAGTGTCTACGTGGAGGCTGCGCGAGGCTACGCGGTCGGCAAACATGCTGAAACAAGCCGTTCCCATTCCATGATACTGGGAAACAAACATCTTCACGGAGATTCCTCGTTCGAACGGGGGAGGGTCCTAAATATCGTCTGACCGCATTTCCACCTTGAAACGCGGAAAGTCCCCACTTGGCGCTTTCTGAAAGGGTTTGGGAAACTTCGGGCGAAGCCGGACACTCGTTTTTTCTATGACGGTTCACACGCTGAATGGAATACAAACTCGTCATGACCGTTTCCCTTTCCAACTAAAAGGGGAGGATATAAGCATTGTGTGTAGGAAAACACAAGGTTTGGAGGTACCGCAAAACAAAAAACTCTGGAATGGGGCAACTCACCGGTCAGAAGGCAGACCCTGCGGGCAATCAAGAGGCTTTGAACCCCTTTTTGGGATCCTTCAAAGGGAGGGGCCCGAAAAGAAGTCCATCATATTGACCATCCCAAGCCCGACTCCACCCGCCACGGCACAGGAAGGGTTTTCAATGCTTCAATCTGAGATCTGGCACAGTGCAAGCGGCCGGCCAGCGCAAAACAATCGCTTCAGACCGGAAGACTTGACCAAACCGCTCTTCGAGCAGAAAGGCTGCCCGGCATGGCCTGATTGACTCATGGCTCACAGGGAGCGCCCCACTGCAAACTAAATGATAACATCAGCTGAGAGCCTTGGCCCCTTGGCCGAAGGCTCATCGGAACTCACAACAGCCGACTGACGCCTGTAGTTCCGCTGCCACTTCAAGTAATCCTGAGGCTTCCGATGGTACAAGGGGGGCCAAACTCGGGCCATTTCAACGTGCTCAATTTGCTTTTGGGAGGAACTCACATGTTTGGCTTTCTCCTTTCCTGAAAGCTAGCTGAAACAGCGATGGGCAAAATACTACAACTCAAAACTGGAATAGGGAAGCCCTTAGTCAAAGGACCTTCATCACGGCGCTTGTTTGAGCCCGAGGTGTGTGCATCATGGCCCGACCCTCTCCCAAGTCCTCGTAGACCCATTTCGCCATGTCCAGCTTCGCTTGCGACGTCTCGGAAGTCGAAGTGCCGGGGAAAATGGCGCGCAGCACCAACTGGGCCAAAGCCACCACTGCGCCGATTCCGTTGGGGATAGTAATATAGATCCTGCACATATCCACTGCGCCTATGCCATTGGGCCATAGCCACCATCTGTGCCAGAATACCCACAGGGGAGTTACAGCCCCCCGGCGTTTTTGCTCCCCCTCCCCCCCCCCCCACAGACAAGGGACTGCAGACAAATCACAAAATTTGATCGAACCTCCCAAACCGGAAATGCATCAAAGCGCCGCCCGCCGAATCGGTGAGCTCGTGAAACTTTGCCGCCAGACTACCCTCTACTTATGGTGGTTTAAAGAGGTTTGCCCCAAAAGTCATGTCAAGAACCTCTCCTGCAAAGAACTCAGTCGTAAAACGAGGCAACCACTTCAATAACTTCACAGGACCCAGTCGATGGGCTTGCAGCACCTTCCCTCACGTGGCAAACCGCACGGTGTTGCGGCCGTCCCTCCCAAGTGTCATTAGAACGATTCTAGTTGTGCCGCTGCCTCGCTCGTGCAGTCGGGGAAGGGCAGTGCAACACTCTACACGCGCCAGCCAGGAAATCACACCCGTGAGAGCAGGAAGGGGGGCAGGGTCCATCCAATACCAATAACAATCCGGCGATGGGTTCCAACTGATACCAACCCCGACCGAGCAACACTATGGACTGGTCACTTTCATTCCCACCAATACAGGCTCCTCTCGATGATGATGCCGTAGGCGCACCACGTGCTCGCTGAGATGAAGATGGCCAGCGTCATCGGAACGAAGACGGGGGATGCGTCTCGACGCCACACGTAGCCAGCAAGGCCTCGGAGCCCCAACAAGGGGGATGGTTCCTTGAGGTTCCCCTTTAAAACAACCTGAAAATAGGGTGCCCTCAAAAAACGCACGCCCAAATCGGTGCTCAAAAAAGGACTAACCATTTAAGAGAGAAACATGAGGCACGGCAAAAAATTGGGTAGCTAGTAGCAACCCTCGCCTCGCTTCTGGCTGAGTAGTAAGTTGGTTTCGACCAGCTGAACCTGCAAAAGCTTGTGCGGTGACAAGAACTTCACCACCCAGATGCCGCATGCAGTCAACGCACCTCCGCCCCCTACAGCTTCGGGCAGCATAACATGCCTGTCGTTGGTAGAGAAGGCTCCAATGAGAAGAGAGTGCAAATGTGCGGAAACTGCAGAAGCGCAAGCTGTACCAATTTCTCACCATTAATGCAACTTGAACTCGCACACCTCATCTGGAGCCAATGAAATGAAGCCTGGATTGATCTTGTTGGAAGAATCACACATGACATTCAAATCCCCCTCTACACGCTCTTCTTGACAGGAACCAAGAAGCAACTATCAACTTGGAAGGGCCATGAGAGCTTGAGGCCCATCTGCCGGCTGCTCACCCCAATCCCACCCTGAATGTTAAGTGAGTCTTGAAACTCTCAAACAGCTGGTCTCAGCAGGCTCAAGTTGATTCACCACAGCTTCCGGGCCCAGAACAACCCCTTAATTTAGTGTGGTGGTTTCCTAACTCCAATTCTGAAGCCTGGCCAGACAAGCACAGGTCGAAGCGATAGAAATCAGCGCTGACCACGTCCTGGTCTCACACGTCCAAGCAGAAACCAACTCAGCCTGACGGTCAGAAAGAGGGGGGCCTCTCCCATTGTTAGCTTAAACCGGTGTCAATTCAAAGGCGCGTTGTCGATCTGGGGTCTTGACAACTAGTTTTGGTGCACATGCCCATGTTCCGTGCCATCCCGCCATCTGAGCCTAGGGAGCGAATTTGCAGAAACGGGTGCAGAAGCAAAAGAAGGAACAGAATGAACCAAGACGAACCAACAGAGGACACACACACACAAAAAAAAAATGAAAGGCGCAACGAGCGCAAGCGAGCGCGACGAGGGCGACGAGGGCTGAAGCCGAGGGGCGGAACACGGGGTTCCCGTAGGCCAAACAGGTGCCAATGCAGCAAATCAGTCCCAAAGCCTCCGCCTTCATATCTGGCTTCAGAGTGGTCTGCAAGACCTACCAGGATTGGCTGGGTCCCAGGAAGGCTAATCCGTCCACCCCTCCACCCCTCCACCCCTCCACCCATCCCCCGAAGCTGCCAGCCAACTTGCGAGCCTCCAGGCCAGGAATCTCCCAGGGCCCCAGAACCACCATGATCAGGAAGCCCACCAATAAGCCCCCGAAGGATTCCAGCTCCAGGCTCCAGAGCCGCCTGCCCGACGCCAAGGCCCGGTGCCGAATGCTTGGCATCCGCGCACTGCTTCCCACCCCTTTCCCCCCTCTCTGAGTCTCTGAGTGCGTTCAAAAGAACAAAAGAATCCTCTTTGAAACAAATCCGTTTCATCAAGGCCAACCCCACGCTGACCTGTGGGCATGGGCACCCATGGTCAGATATCAGAGGCTAACACCAAGGTTCTAAAAAAAACCAAAAAAAAAAAGAGTCAAAGAATGAAAGACTTGCAACACTTTCTTGGGCAAAAAGGCTTTAAGAAGTCACGCTCAAAAAGCCGAAAGCGTTCCGAAAAGTAGGATCCTGCATTCGCCCCGAAAACCATCCCTTGAAAGCGCTCCGTGCAAACAAATCGCAGGGCCTCATGCTTGCTTGATTGCGTTGTTGGCATTCTCTTGTCTCAGACGGGTACCCTGCTTTGAAGAATCCCACACATTCGCTTGGTCGGATTCACAGCACTTTGCTCAACTATGCAAAGAAAGCCTCGGAACCAAGTGACCATGTTTCGCCTGGCCTTTGGCGGAACTCCCTGAGGACATCCAGATTCCAGCCTTGTCCTTCAGGGCAAAAAGGACCAACTAGGGCGGTTCTCAGAACCTGTCTCAGTGTCCCTTACAAATCATGCCCGGCGAAACTCACGCTCCAAGTTCCCCAGGCAATCCCTGTCAGGCAAAAATCGCAGTTCCTAAAGGAGAGTGGCCCTTGCGGCATCGTTCTTTCGGTTGTTGAACATAAACAAAACATATCAAGACATCACTTTCATAGAAATTTCTCCTTGGGGGACTTGCTTATATCATTTCGATTCATGCCGGCAATGGAAACGAATGCCGACGAAAACGCCGAGAGCCCAGGACCGGAAAATGAACATTGCTGGTTTCCACCGGACGACTTTCACGGGCTCACTGGGTCCCATGCCCCGCACGCATGCCAACAAAAGTCAAACGGTTTCGCAAGCCAGCTGAGTGATAAGCAGCAAAACAGCGACAGATTATGCTGAAACAGAGTTCCTGCTTTACTTCCCTGTTGAAAATCACTCAAACCATAAACACTCACTGCGTGGTGTTTAAAAAAGCAAAACGTGAATTCATATAACATCAAGCCTTTTGAGAACCATACCACGCACCATCGTCCAACCTCCCTTCACCGAAAGAAAAAGAAACTCACCCTCGTCCTTCGAGCCCCTTGGCCAGATCGCCCTCCTCCTGGCCCAACAGCCTAATCGCCGAGACGATGAAGAAGAGCCACACCAGCGAGGCGGGCAGCGTGGCACAGAACTGCCAGATATCCCCGTGGTAGGTGGCATATCCCGACCAGAAGAGATTGGAATACATCCTCAGGAGAAAGAAATGACGACAATCTGGACCTACACCCCAGAAGAAACCCCCCCTCCCCTCTTTGCCGCGGCCTGTCGGACCTGTCTGCAACCCAACAAAACCACCAACCTCACAGCAGCTGGCCTGGCAGCGCTCCCAAAATGAATCCCGGTATGTGCCACAACAAACACAGCACAAAACAGGAAGGCTTTTGAAGGGAAACCAAAACAAAAACTAAGCATTGGAGAGTGTTGTTCTGGTTTCGACCGCCAAAAAAAAGATCCCCCGGATCCCACGACGACTCGCAACAAAAAGAAGGAACCGCTCTTTTTGGCGACGCGAAAGCAGCCGGGCATCAGCAAGGGCCAGGACCTCGTGTCCAGACCTCGAAGGGAGGGTTGGGATTCGCGCTTCGCTAAATATGCCGCTCTCGGACTTCCCATGGAGGGTAGTCCACGGCTTTGAGCATCAGCTCATTTAGGCTCCATGTTCTTGTTTGAAGCCAACCCAAATTCAGCGCCAAATGGATATTTGAACGTTCATAGAGTTGCTTGCACCAACAAACTGATGGAACTCATGAAGATTCTAAATGTGGTTTACGTGCGCTTTTTAATTAACTCATGGAAGCCTTCACGGGGGTGCGCGTGTTTTGTGAAGAAAGCCTTTCTTCATCTTTCTTCCACATTTCGCACTCTCACCAAACTAAGCAAACCAACCCGAAGCGAGGCCAAACCGAGGCCAAAGCGCCTCGTAGACTTCCGCTGTCTCGGTTGGATCGCATGGCGCGCCACGGGGACACGGAGATCCCGACGTTCAGCGCCAGGCCCGCAAAGCCCGTCAGGTGCAGCAGCAGCAGCCGGATGCCCTGGGAGCCCAACTTCGAGGCTTTCGGATTTTGGGGAACCTTTGTGTCTGTGGCTGCAAGGATACGCTCCATCACTCGCTTTCACGCTTGTGGAAACTCAAAAAGGCGCTAGCCTAGTTGTCGTCTTCAAAAGCCCGCCCAAACCAAAACCTGGCAACTATCGTCCGCCAACCAGATGTGATATTCAGTCATGGCATGGGCCTTGACCGACTTGGGCCGGCTCAGAGCAAGGTCCGCGCTGCTCAGAGTAAGGATTTGGAATGGCATGTAGCAGTGTTGGTGTAGGCGTTTTGTTTGCTTAATTTGGCCTGAATCGGTTTAGTCCCTCCGAAACATGTCCTAACAAGAAGGGAACGCTCTCATTCGAACATCGATTTCGCAAAGCAGTCCCCTCCAAAAGTGCTCGAGGACCGCAGTGGCTAGCTTGTCTCAGCCAGCCTCCGGCGTCATGTCTGGCTCCAGCAAGCCGTGCAGCAAAGGAGGGCCACTTCTGTGGAGTCGGCCAAAGCGCAAAGCGTGGCGAAACTGCCGGCAAGCAGCCCTGTGCTGCCTACGGCCTACTGCCGCGCTAAGCAAAAAAAAAAACTCCGGACGGCCGACAGCAGACTCAGACAATTTCGGCGTGTTGGTGACAGCCGTAATTGGGGCAGAATGTTGACTCACGATTGATCAACTCCTGATTGATGAATAGGGGCGGAGGTGTCCCTTTTGGAGGTGGATCCATCACTTTGGGGGGATTCATTCCCCCCCCCCACAATCCGACAGATTGATTCATCCAAGGTCTCACTCAGCCCCGCGCTCTTCACTGCGATGTTGTATCCCGCCTCCAAGCGTGTGTACAGTGTGGCCTGGCAGAGAAACCGAGGAATTCCCTTTTTCCCGCCAACATGAAACCACCAGAAGGTCCCTTTAACTGGGAATGGTCTTCCAGCTGTCCTCCATTCAGATTCTGTCTTGTGGGGGGGGGGGGTGCAAATGGTGCTTTTGATCAGCGCATGAATTTGAATGAGTGTCTCTCCCCCTATGCCTGCAACGACTCGAACAGGGATCAAGATTTGGCCGTCCACTGCCTTTCACCTTGACCGAGCCTCCAGCCTGGTGGCTCAAGAACTAAACCTCCAGCCTAGCTTGCATCGGTGGGTCTAAGTTCGGACGTAGTCCCATCTCAGTATTCAACCCAGTCACTGATACGGACAAACAGCAAAATGCGCGTTTCTGAAGCAAAGCTTGCCAGCTTTGGAAAGCACCTTCTTCAGTCTTGCCAGTGGCATGTCAAGACAGTGCAAAAGCCTTTGGCGCGACCGACCGTGAAAGCTTGCCCCGAACGTGGTTGACGGCAAAAGGAAGGCTGCAAGCCCGTTCGTCGGGGTCCAAATTGACTCTGTTCCTTTGCGCCCTCATCTTTTGTTGTGTTTGATGGCGCATGGGGCAGTGAGGGAGTGATGGGATCCAAGTGGACATGAGCAAAAATTTGGTGTGGATCCCTTGGATACAAACAAACAGCTAGCATCCATTCTAGTAAAGCTTCACGCTCGATTTGGGTGTTTCCCGCAATGGAGCACCCTCCAAAAATGGCTGCTGTCCTTTTCATTTCCGCTTGTGTATGCAAGCTAACCAAACGGCACCACACAAGCACGCGATAACTCTTTTATCCGAGCAATGTGTTGGTGCCAGGGACTCATCTTCCCCTGTCAGATGTCAAAGGCTGGGTGGGCCCCATGGGCCACCCAACTCACAATCTCAAAAACTGAAGAACGGGTGTGCAGACTGATAGCGCCCGCCCCTAAGCCGGGGCCCGGGGCACCCAGGCCACAGGGGGGTCTGCCACCAGGGGAAGTGAGTCACCCACCGGCTCCGGTCACGGGAGCATGGGTGGGCCCACGCTAAGATCAAATGCATCTCCATTCAGGAGACGCGGGAGAAAAACGAACTCCTCGCAGAGTTCCTGTTTGGGGACCCTGTGCAAAGGGTCGAACCCAGAGAAATCTGGGTGCGTCAGTTCATCAGCCCATTGGTTGAATTCCCGGGGCACGTGGTTGGCCGCCAGCGAGCAGCCATGGGTGTGGAGCAGGAAGACCAGCTCCATCAGGATCGCCGCGGTGTAGGGCTTCTTGGATCCAAGGTTGAGCATCGCCATGACGTTGCCCTGATTGTCACTGCCCACCGGGAGTCGGACCCGGGAGGACAGAGGGCCTTGGTGCGTGAGGATCATGTTACAGAGGAAGAGCGTGCCCAGCATTTCCAAAGCCGCAATCCTCCGCTTGGGATCCCCATTCTTGAATGGTCAAGGGTACTCCTCCACGTGGATCTGCTCGTGGAACCAGTACACCTCCTTCTTTTCCGGCTCCACTTTGTTGGAGCCCTGGGCTTGCTGCTTGCCCTGGCGGTTCTTCCCGCCCTTGGAACGCCCCTTGCCGGGCGGATCCTCACCTCTGGGTCTCTCTGGGGGGTCTTCCCACTGCCTCGGTGGGTGCGGGGGAAAGGGGTGCTTCCGCCCTTCTGGAGTGCCCTGGCTGGGTCCGCTCCTCTTCCTCGGTGGAGGGGCTTCCGGGGCCGGTGGCACCCTGGAGAAGTCCCCTCCCACCTGAGGCCGTCCTGGCCTCCCCCGCTCTGTCTGCCTTCCGCTGTGGCTCTGGTGGGGTTGGCTCTCCCCCGCTGTGTGCACTCTCGCACTGGTGGCCTGTAATCCCAACGGAGACCAGGAAGCCACGGGGCTTATGGCACCCTGAGTGGCCTCCTGTCACTTGGGAAGGTGTGGGCATGCCTGTGGCACGGGCATCGCACACCCACCCATCCTTCCTGACCGGGCAGTTGTGGGATCGGCCGCATGATCCCGAACACTTGTTGTGAAGGTGATGATCTCTGCAGTACGCCACCCCTTTGGGATTCTTGAAAGCCCAGTGGTCCGGCCATGGAATCGAGGGGGTGTTGGGGGACTTCCCCTTGCCGCCCTTGCCCTTCGGCTTGGACCGGGTCGGCCCCGAGGGCCAGGAACCTTTTCCCCCCTTCTTGGGCTTCTCCCACTGAGTCTGCCACACCTTGGGTGCCTTGCTCTTGCTCTTCCCCTTTTCCGGCGCCCTGTTGGGGTGCTCATAGACCTCCCGTTGCCAGAACAGGAAGTCGCCCCTGATGTTCTTGAGGGCTTCGGAGAGAGTGGTGCCCTGGTGCACCATCTCGTGGATCTTGCGCCATGCATTGCGCTCTGCGAACAGCAAGGTGGTGTCGCTCGGGGGAGGCTTCCTGCCGGCGATGTCTTCCCCATAGAACCAGGCATACCAATCATCCAACTCCTCCTTGGTGACCCTCAGGTTGCCAAACTGTGGCAGTGCTGCCGTGCACATCAGGAGCGTCGTCCTGAAGGTTAAGTGCATCCAGCTGGCGCCGAGATGTAGGGTGGCTCCTCACCTCTTCTTCATCCTCCCTGTCCCAGCCGTCCACCGTGATCTTCTTGTGAGGGGCGTTCCCCCTCTTCCGGGAGCGCGCTCACGATATGTTTTGCCGGGATGTAGCCCAGCTCACCCTTGGCAATCATGCGCCATTGCTTCTTGAGGTAGCCATCACTCCCTTGGAACTCCAACCTCGGCTTCGGGGTCCCATGCGTGGCCACATAAGCATCTTCCAGCTGGCGCCTGTCACACAGGACCTCCAAGGGCGCCTTTGTCGGGCCCGCCTGGCCCGCCGGGTGATCACCTTGGTTGCCCCCCCGGACCAAGTTGGCTGCCACCCGAACTGCCTGAAGGAGGCGCATCGCCGTGAAGGCCGAAGTCTGGGCGTTGAACCCATTCTCCCCATCCCGGAATCCCAGGTCCCAAAAACAATTCTCCCTACCCGCCGCCGGTGTTCCAGCAATCCGCCAGGTCTTCCACCGTGACGTATCCCGATGCGCCCAGAGCCGCCTGGGTGGCCCAGGGGATTTCCTTGCCCACCAGGATGGCCGCCAGTGGCTTCTGCAACTTTGCCACGTCCTCCTTGAACTCCGCTGGGACCTCCTCCGGTGGTTTGGCCGCCATGACCTCCGACCTTGGTGTGGGTGGGTGGGTTTTTCACACAAATTGGGTTCAAAGAACCCAGGGCAAAGCTTGAGCCAAAATGGCATGCGCCATTATGGTCAAGCATTTCAAACACAGTTCATGTTTCCACATGCGTTTCAACATTAACAAAGTGTATGCAAGCTAACCAAACGGCACCACACAAGCACGCGATAACTCTTTTATCCGAGCAATGTGTTGGTGCCAGGGACTCATCTTCCCCTGTCAGATGTCAAAGGCTGGGTGGGCCCCATGGGCCACCCAACTCACAATCTCAAAAACTGAAGAACGGGTGTGCAGACTGATAGCGCCATTTCCGAAGGACAGTCTGGCACACCCGCCATTTCCGAAGGATGCCAGTCTGTGCTGAGGGCCCTGGCCAGGGCCCTGTTCCGGGCCTCCCCTCCCCTTGGTCGCCAGGGCCGGGGGCACCTAGGCTGCCAACGGTAGGGCCACCACCTCGGTCTCCGACTGGGTGTCTACAGAGTCATCCGTTTCAGAGCCCGAGTCCGCCGAGGAGTCCGAGTCCTCCTGCAGTGTGGGGACCTCCGCAGGCTCCAGTGCCCAGTCCGCCGGGAAGCCATACCTCTTGAAGCAACGTTCGCACTTGCCATAGGCCTCCTGCTCCGTCATGTAATCCAGCACCGAGAGCTCCTGGATCTTAGAAGCCGCCGGTCGCCAACCACACCCCGCAGCCGTGCCTTCGACATTCAGCAGGTGGATTCTGGACTGGCCGGCGTTGCCTGTGCGTTTGACCCGAAGGGGGAGGTCCGGGGTGGCGGGAAACAGGTCCTTGGCCTTCACTGGTGTGTCCTCGGGTCCGTGTTCCACCACTGACCATGAGCGAGTCGATGGCGCGCTCCCTGAGGGTACCGCGGGGGATGCCTCCCCTTCCCTTTCGGTTTGGTCCTTGCGGCCCCCGGTCCTGCGTCCGTGATGTCCACTGCTGGCGGCGGGAGCGGGTCCGCCCAGTCCGGGTGGTTCAAGTCCTCCCTGCGTTCCCTGCCTGGCCCGAGGTTCAGGTTGGGGACCTTCTGCGCTACCTGGCCCCAAATCTCCACAACCACGTTGCGCTTCTCCCGCACGTAGACATCCGCTGTGCTCTCCGTGAGCCAGTTGCCCAGGTACATGCGGCGCTCCGGGGGATCCCCATCTGGAAGGCGCAGTCTGGGAGGGTAACTCCCCGGCGAAGAATAGCATCCTTGAGCCATCTCAGAGCCCTTTCCGGCGTGGAAGGTCTCGAGATCAGCCCTGCAAAGTCTTTGCTCACCGTCGGGAGCAAGTAGTCCATGTCCTGGAATGCCTCCTCGGACACCAGTCGCCTGACCGAGGCCACCCAGGTAGTCCACCAGGGGATATCCGTGAAGCTGTACTTCGGAGCAATCAAAGGGACCGGGTTGCGGTTGATTCGTGCTGCTGAGACCGTCTTGGTCTGCCAGGCCTTCAGCTCCACAGTGTTGCTGGTGTGGATAAGGTCCTTGGGGTGAACATGCTGGAGGTCATTGAAACGAGCGCTGCACCCAACCTGGAACCGGGCGAAACCCAGGATGAAAGCGTCCAGCACCTCGTGCTCCTCCCCGGGGCCGCCTGCGTACCGGGGCCGGTGGCACCCTGGTGATCGTAGCCGGCCCCCTCCTCCAGGGCCCATATGACCTCTTTGCTGGGGACCACCGCCTTGCGCTGTGGCCTGGTGACCGTGTCTGTGAGCGCCTCTTCCAAAGAGCTCTTCTTGGACTTGAGGCGATGGAGCTCGTCTATCTTCAGCAGCCCGAAGGTCTTGGAAAACCACTTGAGGGTGTTCCATACCTGCCGTAACTTGCACGGGGTGACCTCCTCCTCGGCGAGCTGGTTAAGTAGAGAG